GAAGGGTTTCTCTTAAAATGCGTTAGTCGTGTTTTTTTAAGATAGTGTAACTTGCTTAAATTTCTTATGTGACATTAACAAATAAAAAGCTGTTTTAATATTAACCCACTGTCTTTTTTAACTTGTGCTCAGTGCTTTATGCTTTTTAGCTTATTAACAATAAGACTTTTCAAAATGGAAATGTGGGTTGGGCATTGGGAGAAGTTATTAAGGAAGACATTCGTTTTAAAGGGAAATAGAGAAGATTATATTTCTAGAACCTGGTTTTACTCTCTTTTAAAATAGGGGAAAGATACTGATTAAAAGCCACCTTTTAGAGGGGCAAGGTATGAATGATATGAAATACAGGTTGGCATGTGTTGCGGGGGTACCTTTGTTAGGTGTGGTGGTAATTGGGGTGTCATTTGGTCTGGGTTTGGGGAATTTTTGTCCTTTGATTGCTTTAGCTAAGGGAGTTCATCTTGTAGAGAGTGGAATACCTGAACCCTACCTAACAGATGATAACATTTCAGGAACTACCCCAGAGTCAGTGTTTGCTTTTCTCTTAAAATACTCCTGCGGTAAGCTGCACACAGACCACCAGCTTTCACTTGAAAATAGCTCACCGGCTCCCAGAGTCACTGTGCTCTGCAGATTTACTGCATCCTCGGGTGCTGCCACAGACACAAGATAAATGCTGGGTTAGAAATTCCGTCTGTGAAGCAGATAAAACGATAACTTCTCAACACAGATTTATCTTCAGAGTGGGAATGCCAATGCCATGTGTGGTCAGACTTGGTCATGAAAAATTTTGCCACAAGATGGGGTTCTTGCCATCAAAATTCACTCTCTAGGTACTTGGTTGCTGGATAAGTTAGGTTATAGAAATCAACACTTTAATTAGCTCAGAATTAAGAAAAATTGGCCGTTGTGATACCAGAGAGTAGTAAATCCAACAGTGACGTTTCAAGTGAAGATCCAGGACTGTTCCGTGCCCCTGGATGTGTGGGCAGTGGATTGTTGAGTCAATTCAGATGGACGGACTTGAGACTAAATGGATGTGTCTGGAAAAAAGCTCACCCGCAGTCTCCCACAGAGCAGAGGGAGGGTCGGAGCTCGCGCTGCCTCCGCGAATTACATGTGCCTCCTTATCAGTGGAGGTTAAGCACACAGCGTATAAAGCTGCACTTCTGGATTATTGAACTATTTTATAACAAGCATGAGCCGCCTTCCCCCCAATTTGCATTTCGTCTTCAATTATTATTGTTTCACCACTACTTTTACTCAGATTTAATTTTATTCCCCTTGTTTAGCGCTCCGTTTTTTCCACTAAAATAATCCTGGACGTTCTTATTTTGTTCACTATCACCTATCTCCTTTCGCTGTTCCTCCCTCTGGGATTTCTGAGAGGACTGTTGAATCCGCCCTCCTTCGTGCTTTAGATTCCTCTGTGCTGGACTCCAGTAACCGCTTTGGCTTTATCTCCCGGTTCTGCCCTGGGCCCTGTAACCAGCCTGCCGCGCCCCTCGGGTCTCGGATTTCATGGGCTATTCTGTTCACTTCTGAAGTTGCCTTTCATTCTTCACACTTGCCTGCTCCTTTTTCTACTCATTTTTTCATTATAGTTTCTATCTGTTAAGAATCATTGTATTTATTTTATAGTCTAATTAGCTTTTTTCTTGAGGTCTTAGGGATGCTCATTTTTCTGTTCACTGTGTCTACTGACTGTACCCCCACCCCAAGGGTGGTTTATTTTGGGAGTGCACCATGTCCCAGGGTTCCTGGTGTTGCTACGGAGGAATTTGAGGGTTTCCAGGCAGCTCCCAGTGACTGTAGTGGTTCGGGCCTTTTCTGTCGTTTTCTCACCTTGTGATAGTAAAATCCACTATGACACTGTACACTGTGCATGGATATTCTCTGTTTTTCCCGTGAAAGGTCCATGAGACCCTAAGTCCCAGCTGATGTTCGCTGTGGCCCTGGGCAGGCTGGCTGCGTGCTGGGGGTGCGGGGTGCAAGTTGGTGGTGCGGGGTGCAGGGAGCATGTCAAGGTCTGTGCTTTATTTATGCAGCAGCCCCTGGTCCAGGTCCTGTCCTTCACCTGGACTCAACACCACATTCCTATGCCCCGCTTCCCAGGCCCTGGCACTTACATTTCAGACTTTGAGTTTGGTTTCTTGTGTTCCTTTATGGACACTTCTCTTGCTCTTAAGCTTGGCTCTATCTTACAGCAAACATTTAGTTATATTTTACCAGTTCTATAGTGGAAGGAGGGAAGGGTTCTCCGTGTCGATCGAGTCCACCAGCATATATAAATACAGTGGCACCTCGGTTTCCGAACATCTCCGTTGACGAACATTTCGGTTTATGAACGCCGTAAACCTGGAAGGAAATGCTTTGGTTTTTGAACACGCCTCAGAAGTCGAACAGGCCACGTGGCTTCTGCTGAGGGCAAGACCCTGAGGCCCAGCTGTGGGCTGTGGATCCCTCGGTTTTTGTTTTTGAACGTTTCAGAACTCGAACGGGCTTCCGGAACGGGTCACATTAGAAAACCGAGGTGCCGCTGTACGTATTTGTAAAGAGATGTGATTATTCTGAGTCATGTTCCTTGTGTTTCAATCTCTTACCCACCATCCCTTTCTTCAAATCCTAAATCTACAAAGGAACTTATTTCAATGCCTCTTCTTTTCCTGGCCCACATACATGTTAAAAACAAAATGAGACACTGGAAAGAACCTTAAGTAACCTACGCTTCCAGGTCATTGGCTTCTAGACAAAACGCAGTTCTCTTCTCTTTAGTTCTAGCACATACATGAAGTAGCAGCAGCATGGGTAGGAATTTGGGGAGGTACCACCAGGGGAGAATGTGAGAACCCCTGAAATAAGGTTCTAGTATTTCCAAGACATTTACTTGGCAGGACCCCGAATTCTGAAATAGGGAGTGACTTTTTCTCTCCCCTACTTCCCCCAAATAAAACAGGCAGCCAAGGAGGCAGGTTTTAGGATTCTGTGTTTCTGCCTGTGCCTGACTTATTAAAGGGACATTCAGAGCCAAACTGATGGGAATGAGAAAAAATATTTAGGCAAAATACATACAAAACTCACAGAAGTCATATTTCAGGTTGTTGGAGAGGAAGCTTCCCATGAACAGTGTTGAGTGGGAGGAAGAACCAATGGGAACAATGCTGGGAGCGGATGCTCCTTGGCCGTTCTGGAGGGTCAGTGAGGGCAGAGAGTAACAGGAGGGGACTCGCCCGTCTGTCCTGCAGACCTGCATCGGACGCAGCGTGTGAAATCGCTTCCTACCTCCTGCCCCTCACTTCCCCAGGGATGCGTTTTCCCCTCACTTCTAACAGCACAGTAAATCCTGTTTTCTGCTGACATTTCTCCAGAGACAAAATGCACCTTTCAATTTAAGGAGACAGCCTGTTCAGGACCTTAATTACTTTATAACAATAAAACATATTCGCCCAGATTTATTACGTGAGTGCTTCCTCCACCAGTCTGAACTGGAATTCTCCGTTTACATGCCAGCCCAGTGTGCTCTCAGAGCAATGCAGCTCTTGCTCCATCCTGGTGGGTTTTAGACTTCCTTCGGCTGGGTATTACTTCCAAAGGGCCCCAGTCTGTGGATCCTGAAGATTTCTCTGTATTTTGTATGCCATTTTCTTAAATATTGGTGTTGATTTCTTTAATTTAAAACAAGACAGTCCTGGCCGGCCGGCATGGCTCAGCGGTTGAGCATCGACCTATGATCCAGGAGATCACGGATCNTTCTTAAATATTGGTGTTGATTTCTTTAATTTAAAACAAGACAGTCCTGGTCGGCTGGCATGGCTCAGCGGTTGAGCATCGACCTATGATCCAGGAGATCATGGATCACATGGTCAGGGCACATGCCCGGTTGCAGGCTCGATCCCCAGTTGGGGGTGTGCAGGACACAGCCCNCAGGAGATCATGGATCACATGGTCAGGGCACATGCCCGGTTGCAGGCTCGATCCCCAGTCGGGGGTGTGCAGGACACAGCCGATCAGTCTCTCTCATCATTGATGTTTGTCTCTCTCCCTCTCCCTTCTTCTCTCTGAAATCAGTAAAGACATACTAAAAAAAAAAAAGAGTCCTGACTTGCCTCTCAAGCCTTCTTTCATGACCCGCTTGTGCACCCGAATCCGCTGCCACAGTGGCATCTGCCAGCCT